TCTACTCTACTCTACTCTACTCTACTCTACTCTACTCTATTCTATTCTATTCTATTCTATAAAAGTTGGAAAAGGAGAAAAGGAGAAGAGAGAGCTAAATTTTCAAGATCAGGAAGAAAGTGTTGTACCTGATGATTCTTGACTCGGGACGAATGTCTCTTTTCTTTGAAGTACACTGAGAGCATTTGCACCAAAGACAAATGCCTTGTGCGTCCAATCATACTTGGCCAATAAAAGAATTATAATTCTAATATTTGAACAGGGGTGGGATGCAATTTTTTTTAACTACTGGTTCTGTGGGCGTGGCCAGGTGGTCATGTGACTGGGTGGGGTTTTGTTTTTGTTTTTTTGCCTCCTGGGCCTCAATTTAGATTAGCCAGAAAGCAAGAAATCTGACGATATCCTGCTTTCTGGCTAATCTAAGTCACGTGGCACAGCTGATCTTTGGAAAACAGCTGATCGGTGGGGGAGAAAGAAAAAAAGGAAAGACCTTGATCTTCGGAGCGAACTGGTTCACTTGAACTGGGCCGAACTGGTAGAATCCTACCCCTGGATTTGAAGTTCCAATGGGCACACACACACACACACACACACACACACACACCCATAGTCATGTAACCAGCCAGTATTTAGGGCCAATTTGCAGCTGTCTGAGGACATCTGCATGCAATTTGGGATGTTTTCTCCTGAAACCAGCATTTTCTTCCAGCTCTTGACAACGTCAAAGTCCTCGACTTACAACCAAGTTACAACGGCACTGAAAAAAGTGACCTATGACCCCATTTTTCACACTGGTCGCATGATCGAAATTCCAGAGATGTGGCATCTGACTCATATTGATGGACGGGTCGCAGCGTCCTGGGGATCCCCCCCTTTTTGCGACTTCTGACAAAACCAAGTCAAGGGGTGGGCGGATTCACTTAACAACGGTAGGGATTCACTTAACAACAGTGGGGAGGAAGGCCGTAAAACGGGGGCAAAGCTTACAGAACAAAATGCCTCGCTTAATGACAGAAACTTGGGGTCGTAAGTCGAGGACTACCCATAGAAAAGGAAGAAATGAAAACAAGAAATGAAAACATGTCTGGCCAAGGGGCCTTTTCAAACTGCCGGTGGCCACCATTTTGTGAGTGCGCCCACTGCCAGCCTTCCCAAAGGGCTACCTGTAGCTCCAGCCAGCTTGGGGGCTGCGTCCTGGTCCCATTGACAAACGTCCTTCTGAGCCTCTCTTCACAATAAGGGCCATACCCTGGAGGACCCCCGATGATGAAGTTCCTTAAATACTGTTGTGGAGACACAAAGCGAACACACACACACAAAAAATTAGTGATAACGATTACATTTTGGGAAACAAAATCAGAAATTTTGGCCCGTATTTTAGCCTACTTCTTCACTCAATGTACATCCGGGAATTTTTTCGAAATGTATTTAGTTATCATTCAATCACCAGCTGTCAACTCAGAATAAAACATTCCTAGGCCTGTTTTAGTAGTTGCCATAAAAAAAAGGGGTGGGTGGGTGGGAGGAAGGAAGGAAATATGGAAGAGCAGTGCAGCGGTTTGGAAGCGTAAGTACATTCCAACTCTTTATCTTTAAGATTGTAGTTAAGATACCGGAGCTTTTACCCACGAATATATTTAATTGGAGAACGTGATTGATGACACCCAGCCTGTGAACGTGCTGAATTGGAGAATCTGATTTATGACACACCCAGGGAGGGGGGGGGGGGAAACAGGGTCACAGGGGACTATAAATTACGTTTGCCAGAGTTGGCTTCATACAGGGCAGTGGCTAGGATGTCGCCTCGAATGAGTCCTCGGAAGTTTTTTGAAGTTTGGCTCGAGAATCATGATTTAATTAGGGCGATTGCTGGAATCCTGACACATTAGATAAGCGTCAATTTAGCCCAGACAAACAAAAGTGAGGAAAGCAGTGAAGATTGTCCACCTTATTTATTTTTCTTGTAAAAAGGGAAGGGGAAAAATGTCTCTCATGCTTTCAAGATTCTGTTATTGTACTTTAAAAATGCAGAATTCCAATAGTTTATGAAGAGTCTGTTTCTTGCTTTAAGCTAGTCGATGTGATTGCAAATATTTAAAGGTATCTGGAGCAGTGTGAATTGAAATGAAATAAGGAACTAGAAAAAAATAGAAAACCTAAGAAATGAAATGAGGAAATAGAATGAAGTAGAAATAAAAAGAAAATGAATTAAGGACATAGGGAGGAGGAAGAAATAGAAATAACAGAAAAGAAATAAGGAAATGGAAGAAAAAGAAAACCAGAAATGATAGAAAGGAAATAGATAGAAAGGAAATAATAGAATGAAGTAGAAATAGCAACATTAAATAATAAATAATAATAATAAAATGGCAGGGAAAAGAACCAGGGAATACAATCAAGAAAATATGAACATATTGGCAATTCTAAAATAAATCAAATAGGGTATACTCTAGAGTAGGTGATGTGTGAGCAACACAAAATGGAAAGGATCTTGATACTCAACAAATTGCAATGTCCTGGCTTCATCTCCTCCAAAATGCAAATGAAGATGGGATATACCAGCCTTTCTCACCCAGGCAAGTTTTCGGAGGTTCTTGGAAACCAAAATATTTCCCTCAAAAATATTCCCATCACCCAGACCAAGCAGGTAGTCCCTTGACTCACCTTGACAAATTTCTCAGAGGGGGCGAAGCAGCCCACACACAAGGACACCAGGATCCATCCTCTGGCATGGCTGTTTTTGGAAGGATTTTGGGTCAGCTGTTTGCAGATTTGGCAGTAGATTTCATCTCTGCCGCAAGAAGAAGAAAAAAAATGAGTGATTGATCCAACTTCACTTGTTCATCAAATCCATTTGAAAAATCTTGGAATCTCCAAATCTTGAAATCTCCAAATCTTGCAGTCTCCAAATTTTGGATTCTCCATATCTTGGAATCTCAAATCTTGGAGTCTCCAAATCTGAGAGTTTGGAAATCTTGGAATCTCCCAGTCTTGGAATCTCCAAATATCGGAATCTGCAAATCTTGGGAAGTTCTCCAACTCTTGGGAAGTTCTCCAAATTTTGGGAAGTTCTCCAAATCTTGGAAACTCCAAATCTTGGAATCTCCAAATCTTGGAATCTCCAAGTGTTGGAGTCTCCAAATCTTGGAATATTCTGAGGTATAAGTGAAAAACCAAGCGTATCCACAGGGTAGGTTCAAAGAAAGTTGTGATGGTACCCATGGTGTCCTGATGGAAAATCCATCTGCTTTCAATGTCCACTACAGGGCTTTGATTACATGGTTGTGTCACCATCTTGCCTTTTTTTTTTTGACTTCTTCCCTGTTATGGTCTTTAGATATTAGGGCACAATGCTTCTCTGATAGCAGTTGGTTGCTGATATTTTGGGGTACACCTCTGCAATGCACACCTGGAGCTTTCCTGCTTTTTTCTTCTTGATTTCTAACCTTAAAGTTGGCCTCAGGATGCCATTCCCAATAATGAAATGCAGTTTCTCCAAATTGGATGTTGGGCGGTCCTCCAACATGCTGTTTCCATGGACGGTGGACTCACCATCGTGAAGGCGCTTGGTCACCTGATGAAGCAACAGGTATAAGGCACAGGTACAATTTGTGAAATAGATCCAGGTGGCAAAATTCCCAGTCCTGAACCCAAGGCAACTAGGAATGTGAGGAGGACTCACCTCTTCACCCTATTCTCAATCTATCTAGAAGAGGGCTCTCCAGAGTCAGCCAAATTTAAGACTTGTGGACTTCAACTCCCAGAATTCCCCAGCCAGCTGGCTGAGGAATTCTGGGAGTTGAAGTCTACAAGTCCTTAAATTCTGATAGTTGAAGCCCACAAGTTTTAAAGTTGGAATGTGAGGAGGACTCACCTCTTCACCCTAGTCTCAATCTATTTAGGTCAGGGCTCTCTAAAATTGGCAAATTGAAGACTTGTGGACTTCAGTTCCCAGAATTCCCCAGCCATCATGGCTGGCTGATGAATTCTGGGAGTTGGAAGTCCGTAAGTTTTAAATTCTGGGAGTTGAGGTCCACAAGTTTTAAAGTTGCCAAGTTTGGAGACCCCTGATCTAGAAACAATGATGGTGAAGTTGTGACAATGTGGGTCCCCACACCTACGACTCACACAACTTTCCCACAGTCACGTGATTGTGATCCAACAAGTTGCTTGCATTTATGACACTTGCAGTGTCCTCGGTTACATGATCGCCTTTTGTGATCTTCCGACAAGCAAAGTCAATGGGGGAAGCCAGATTCACTTAATGACTGCCTGATTCACTTAACAATGGCAGTGATTCGCTCAGCAACCGTGGGCCAAAAAAAAAAAAAGCTTTCAGGGTTCTGGCATTTACCCGATTAAATCATGAGCCTCGAGCCAAACTTCCAAAACTAAACAGGATTTATTGGGAGTTAACATGCCATGTCGGTGTAGCCGACTCTGAGATACATCATTCATTGTCACCCTTGACCCTGGTTTTCCCTCCACCCCCTGGGTGTATCATAATTCATATTCTCCAATGGGACAGATCCATAGCCAAGAGTCTTCAACCATGCTCTCCAGTTTGCACAGCAGAAACTTCAGTGACCTAGTTACTATCTTTGAACAACTATGTATGGAATGCACTTTTGATTTCCAAGCTGCTGCATTGCTCTTTCAAACCCGTTTCCCCGTTCCCTTGCCTAAAATGGGGCAAAACTCACTTGACAAATGTCTCACTTAAGCACAGAAACTATGGGCTCAATTGTGGTCATAAGTTGAGCCTATTAAAAGCCATGACTGAACTGTGGCTTTTAAATTCTCGTTAAGAAATCTGCCTGCAAAGGCCTTACTTAGTTGGTACGTTCACCTACTCCTGCCAGGCTCCAAATCTTCCTCCCACACTTAATTTGCAAGCCGACCAAAATAAGAATCAGGATTCCGGCAGTTACCCCCAATTAAATCCTGAGTCTCGAGCCAAACTTCCAAAACTTCAAAAGGATTTATTGGGAGTTAACATGTCCGGCACTGCTTGGGTGGAACCAACTCTAAGATACATAATTCATTGTCACCCTTGACCCTGGTTTCCTCCCCACCCCCTGGGTGCACCATAATTCATATTCTCCAATGGGACACCTCCCTAGCCACAAGTCCTCAATCATGCTTTCCAGTTAGAATTTTGCATGGCAGAAACTTCAGTCACCTAGTTACTATCTTTGAAAAACAATGTATGAAATGCACTTTCAATTTCCAAGCAGCTGCACTGCTCCCCCCTCCCTTTCTGTTGGCAACCCTAGAAATATTTTATGAGTTGACACCACGGCTGACTTAATAACTGTTTTGCTGAGCGATGGACATTTTGGGCTCAGTTGTAGTCATAAGTCGAAGACTACTTGTACGATCAAGATTTTACCCTTTGCTTCTAACTTACGGTAACGACAGTGCTAGCAAATCCTGTTTGTGGGACTCTGACCTGGAGAAAGCCAAGTTTCTCCACTCGGACTGTGATCGGTGGGCTGGATGGTGGCTTACTCACCTCTTCGGTTAACTTTGATTTTTTCTTGAGGGTTAAGGAGACCAATTTCTGCCGCACACTGCTCTTCTTATGGCCATCTAGATGAGAGCTCTGTAAAAGAAATATCCCAGTGTCAGGAATAATCCTATCTTATACCAGCGTTTCTCAACTTGGCAACTTTAAGACGGCTGGACTTCAACTCCCAGAATTCCCCTGTAGCACAGACTTATATTTCTTTCAATTTCTCCCTTGTTCTACCTCTCCCCTGCTCTGCCCAGCCGGACTTTGCCCTTTCCCAGTTTCCTCCACAGCCAGCGGAGTCACACTCCCACTCCCTGTCAGCTGTTCAGCTTCCTCCTCCAAGTCAGATTCTGACTCCACTCATATAAGAAAGATAAACCAGGTGGACAATTTTCAGTGCTTTCCTCACTTCTGTTTGTCTGGGCTAAATTGACGCTTATCTAATGGTTGTTGAATTCCTTCTGCAAGGACACCTCCATCCACTTCTGTGGTTGCTGTTCTACGAGTGTCTTATTCTTCCTTTACCAAAACAACAGAAATGAGACTTGCCGGCTTCTTACTTACTTCTCCGTCACTTTGAAGGGCCTGGAGTTCCTTCTTGTAGGACTTCTTCCCCAGCGTCTCGTAAATTTTGGTCATGACCGGGATTTTCTCGCTGCCGTCGCTCATCGCGGTGTGATATTTTGGCTCAGGAAGGTCCCCCATAAAGCGAAGAATGGTGATCCACACCGCGAGGGCTGCCTGGTTTTGTGGGAAAGAAAATACGGTCTGCAACCGAGCCCCCAAATTTCCATCAACTAAGCGAGACAGTTGCCCAATAAGTTTTGCCCCGTTTTACGACCTTTCCCTCCCCAGTAGTTAAGTGAATCACCACAGTTGTTAAGATAGCCACATGGTTGTTAAGTGAATCTGGCTTCCCCATTGACTCTAATTGTCCAAAGTTTGCATAAGGGGCGGCATTACGACTGTCATAAATAGGAACCAGTGGCCAAATGTCCGAATTTTGACC